CAGAATCTTCCACGGATTATCCTTAAAGGAATCTTCCAGGGTGTTAAAGTGGTTCGTGGACCAGACTGGGACTGGGGCAACCAAGACGGTGAGTGGTGTGTTTGTGTTGGGCCATTGTTTACATAATTAATATGGCACCACAGACTCAACAGGTCTGCTGCCTGCCTGCTTGGAGCACGGAGCTGTATCTCTTCAAAGTGTTCCACTATCCACAGCCCATAACAGCAGTCTAACCTAACTTCTCATTAAGCCTTGAAATGTCCTATTAGCATGTGTTTGTGTGCACCAGCGTTGCCTGTGTCTCATTTCAGTCTGTTCCACAGATGTTCACGTCACTGTGTTCCAGCTTTTTATTTGTGCCATACCTGGTACAGGCAAATTCAAACTGAAGAATATTCATTGCTTTAAATTTGGTTCTATTTTATTTTATTCCAACTCTGTGATTTGTTGTGTAGACAGATGCTGTCTTTGTGATACACAAGTATAAATGGTAGTGCAAAAAAGGATCTTGCACTTCAGCAAAACTAATTTTTCTTTTAGGGTAAGAGGAATGTTAATAGGTCTTTTTGTTTCCTCTGAAGTCTGGAGTCATTGTTGTGTCTGAGAATAGACTGTTTTTTTCTGCTTTAAGGCGAATGAGTGAAATCAATGCCCACTGGTCCCTCATTAAGCTTCTGAGATCCCTCACGCACAACCAGCCATCCACATAGTTTAATGGGTCAATGGATCAGATGGTGTTGTTATCAGAGCAGCCCACGACCTGAAAGAGGGTGATTTTAGAACCATGATGCTGTCACATTGCAAATCGTGTAACTTAGTTGAATGTGAATGTATGGTGGTCTGATGTCTTTCAACCTTTCATATTATGTATTTGAATTGATGATAAAAATGTTTAAAATATATTCCATTTTAAGAAATGAGTGACAGCTGATGTCTCTCCAGGAAACATTAATTTGCCTTAATGACATCTTTATTTTCCATTTGTTTTTTACACTACAATCTATGTCCTTCACTGTCCCAGATGTTGAAATACTGTGTGTACTCTTAAAAGCAATTTAAAGTAGGCAACTGGACTCACCTCAAGTAAGTTAAAGACATTTTGCTTCTCATCCAAGAGGCTACTTCCGTTCTTTGGAACTCAAATCACTGAAGCTGAACTACAGAAGCCTCTTGGATGAGAGGCAAAACGTCTTCAACTTACTTGAGGTGAGTCCAGTTGCCTACTTTAAACTGCTTTTGAGATTGTTATGATGACCTGGATGACTGAGAATATCCCCAAACATATTTATTAACATGTGCACTGTCTGTTTCACTCTCCTGCTTTAACCCCTGCTTTCCTTGAACAAGCTTATACATTACTGTTTCTTGCATATTTGTATGTGTGCATTCATGTGTGTGTAGGTGGGGAGGGTAAGGTTGGGAAAGTAGTGGATATTCGTGGCTGGGACACCGAGTCTGGTCGTAGTGTGGCGAGTGTCACCTGGTCTAATGGCACCACCAATGTCTACCGAATGGGCCACAAGGGCAAGGTAGACCTAAAGTATGTATCTGACGGCCAAGGAGGCTTCTACTACAAAGATCACCTACCAAAGCTTGGTAAGAAGGAGCTGTGTTTTCATATTACAATATTCAGAGATATTTGCACATTGTTTGTTTTATTCTAATTTTAATGACCCTCACCTGGTCTGGTCCTGGTCTTCATGCTGATCCTGTCACCGGTCTCCCCAGGAGAACACGCAGAGCTACAACGGCAGGAGAGTGCTGATGGACTCTCTTTCCAGCAGGGCGACAAGGTCAAATGTCTTCTAGAAGTAGACATCCTGCGTCAGATGCAGGAGGGTCATGGAGGATGGAACCCAAAAATGGCGGAGGTAATGACAGCTTTCCTTTTGTCAAATAGACAATCAACTTTAACTCACACAACAATAAGCTAATATTTTAGTATATCAATCTATTCCAGTATCTCTATCAAAACAATCTGTAGCATTTAAGACAAGAAACGGTCTTTTAGATATCAGACATGCACCTCGTAACAGACACACCTGGATCTCTGTCTGCAGTACATTTGTCGGATTGGAACCGTTCACAGAATCACTGACCGGGGAGATGTCAGGGTGCAGTACAGCAACAACATTCGCTGGACTTTCCATCCTGGGGCCCTCACCAAAGTACTGAGTTACAAATTTAGTCCCAGATAAATGGCAAAGATACAAAGTGTTTGGTTTATGGCTTGAAATAATTTGCTCTTTGCACCTGTTTTTCCCTAGGTGAACACTTTTGGAGTGAGTGAACTTGTTCGAGTTTTGGAGGACATGGACAGTGTAAAGAGGTTGCAGGCTGGACATGGAGAGTGGACAGACAGCATGGCTCCTGTATGTTTATTCAGCATGATAAATCTATCTTTTCTTTCTGTGACAGTTTAAAAAAAGGTTTATGTAATCAAGACTTTTAGAGATACAAAGGTACAATGCACAATTTTGTTGCTTTAGTCTGTAAAACCATCCAAATATTGTAATTACTTCCTTATGCAAACAGGGATTTGAGGTTTCTTGTCAGTGGACATGATCATTTGTGTCCCTGGAAGAAATAACAAGCTTCAGACTGACTGACCCACTTCACTACATCTGGAAGTCATCAAGTTTTACAGCTGTTTCCCTAAATGCAGCCAAGTTGTTTACCTTTAAATTTAAGGGCCTTAGAAACATGCCGCGTAAAAACCACAAGCAGTTCCTGGTTAATTATTTTTTCCACTCTCTATTTTTTTTCTTTGATTTGTCCCTGGTAACATTTTCTCCCACGGCTACATTCACATCTGCTTGACTCTGTCTCTGTCTCAGGTTCTCGGCCAAGTTGGGAAGGTGCTAAAGGTATATGCTGATGGTGATCTACGTGTGGCGTTTGGTGCTCAGACATGGACGTTCAATCCAGCATGCCTCTTGGCCCAGCCTGTGGAGGTGGATGCTAACCTCATGACAGCTGAAAACCCCAACGAGTCTGGAAGTAAGCCTTCTGCCGGGCTGAGGGGAACTCATCTGTGACACTTCAGCTCCAGCTTTACCACTCTGCATGTAGCCATTCATCCTCTTTTGCCTTCCTTTTCAGCTGAGCCACTTCACTACATGTTTTCACATCATAGCCTTTCCTGTTTGTCTTTTTCCGCGCCCTATGTACACGCTTCTTGAAATGTTCCTCTGTTCTATTTCCTGGTTCAGCATGTTGCCAGTGAACAGCTTTGGCAGCACAGCAGACATTTGTCATCATTTCAGCTGTTCTCAGCAGTCCCTTAATTGTGACTAATTCTTTCCTGTGCATGTGTTCATTACTGTGGAAAGGAAATTGTCAACATAAACACATCAGTGTGTGTGTGTTTGTGGAGAGATTGTACTGCGTTAAAAAGCGTGACTGTCTCTGGCTCATTTGGCAAAATAACCAACATGACTTTTTCAAGCTCTTTCAGCCTCCAGCAAATATTTTCACCAGTATTTCTTATTTTGTCTCTGCATTTTTCTAGAAGAAACAAAATTAATAATTCTATTTTTTTCCCTATCTCTATGTCTCTGTGTGTGCAGGTACTGTCATCTCAGTGCTGGAGAAGCTGCTGTCTCAGTCCACAGAACAGGACAACCCCAGCCGGTTGGTTATTGAGGCGGCGCACGGCAGTGCCAACAAAGTGCGAGAATTGGTGCAGAAATATCCTGACAAGGTTAGTGCAGCACTCCTTCTCTTTGCTGCAGTCCACTGCTTGTTCCAAAACGCTGCTTCCACCACAACGCCAAGACTCGGAGTGGAGGGATTGAGGGTCCAGAGTAAATTTGTTAGTCAGATTGGAAAATAACACACTGCTCTATTGCTGAGGTATGAAAATGACTGTTTAAAAACTGAAAGGTGTAGCATTAACATATTCACACTGCACATTACCACAGTTAAAATAATGTATTATTATGTAACCCTAAAGCATCCACTGTATACTATTGCAGTTGTCTGCCTAATACTTTAAAATATACTTTATCACCTTTCGCCTACTAGCAACCTTTAAGGATTTCCATTCTGAGGCACACATGAGTCAGTATCTGCTGTTGAACTTCATTCAGTTGACAATATTTAAAAATGAACTTTGTGTCCTTTGGTGTTAGTTCTTCAACTCTTTTGTTTGGAATTTTTTTAATATATATGGACTAAATGGGATTGGATTCAAGCGACCTAACTCATCTGTGCTAACTGCTTTGTGCTTATATAACTGGGATTAGCTGTATTAGCCGTATGATTCATGTTCAGATTATTTCTTGTATCTGTTCATGCTCAGATTGTTTCCCTGCAGTCTGCGTTCAGGAATGTCCATGTCCAGACCTTCATGGTCTGTAATGAATCTTCCATCATGTGTGCATTTCTGGCAGGTGGATATAAAGAACCAGGGAAAGACCGCACTGCAGGTCGCTGCCCACCAAGGCCATGTGGAAGTGGTGAAGGCCCTGCTGCAGGCCAATAGTTCCGTTGAGGTCAAGGATGAAGATGGAGACACAGCATTGCACTACACTGCCTTCGGGTGAGGGAACACACCCTTCTTGCACACATAAACAAAGATTTGACTAGAAAACTGTCTTGTGTAGCACCCACACAATTATTGTGTGGGTGCTTGAGTTCATAACAAGACACAGCTTTCCGCATTGTGGCTTTGGTGAGACCTTGTTGGACACATCTGCAGCACAGTTCACATCTGATAATGTTATAAATTCACAAAAGTGATAGCAATATCAGCTTCCTCTAATCACTAGAGTAACATATGCTGTTCCACTGATAAGACCCTCTGCAAATGTGTTTTTGGTCAAAGTGAATTCTTGATGCCATGACTTACTGCTGTGCTTCAATGCGAGGTTTTGGATTTGCATACTCCCCAAGGACAGTGTAGAATAATTCATGGCTATGACGCTAACCTGTTTTTTGTGATGTCTGCTGTTTCAGGAATCAGGCAGAGATTGCCCGATTGCTGTTGAGCAAAGGGGCAAATGTCAACCTCCTGAACAACTCCATGTGCACAGCACTGCACATTGCTGTCAACAAGGGCTACACTGACGTTGTGCGGGTACTGACGGAACACTCGGCTGACGTCAATCTCCAGGTTGACCCACTTAGCTACTCACTGGGCATGTGTATAAAAACTTTTTGTGAATAATCAAAAAATGGGCCTTTTTTGATTTAATTTTAGTTCTATATGTTTTGTGTCACTGATCCCTAATGAAACCAATTCTTCAAAATAGAAGTAGACTAGTAAGAGAGTAATAGTAATGTGTGATAACCATAAAAAGTGTGTGGAAAATCTAGGCTGGACACACTTTAGCCTTTAACCTTTAGAGTTGCGTTAATTTATTGGTTTACTTTAGGTTCTTGGTTGATGATGTTTATTTTTATAATGGAACGCAAGGCCATAATTTGAATAATAATTTATGCCAGTTTTCTACACTGAGCTGTCAATGCTCTGAACAGACAGACTTCCCTGTCTGCTTCCCTGTCCCCTCAGGCTTCTGCTCAGAGGCAGGAAAAGGGCGTGGATCTTTCACACAACAGCTGTTAAAAAACTGTAAGAAGTACACTAGATACAGTTAAAGTCAATAACGAATAAAATCATTCAGTCTTTTTTAGTGGTTAAAAACTAAAGATCTTACTGACAAATAGCTCTTAGGGTTACACTTTCCTAAACTAATGCTAATAATGTTTATATCGGTGTCTGTTATTGGTAATTGTATCAGGGGAAAAATCTTTATTGTGCAACCTGACAGTGAACCCTTTATGGAACATTGCATTTATAAAAAATATAAACACATCACATTAGTGGTGTTTAGGGCAAATACTCAAACTAGGCCTAAAACTCTCTAAGTGGTTTGAATTATCTGCTTGTGTGGCCACTTATCCAAAACTATTTCAGCCCAACATTTGTTTGTTTTTGTACAGAATATGTTGCCAATGTTAATGTTGTGGTTGTAATAAACTGGAAACTCTTACATGGATCACTGTTTTTTCTCCTGACTCAGGATTCGTATGGGGACACGCCCCTCCATGATGCAGTCGCTAAAGATTTCCGAAATATTATCGAGATCCTGGTTGTGGTGCCCAATATTGACTTTACTCAGCAGAATCACAGAGGCTTCAACCTCCTGCACCATGCTGCTCTTAAAGGAAACAAACTGTGAGTAGAGAAAAAAATATTTACATTTAAGAATATTCTGCTTGGGTGGATATGATCCAAGCAGTGGTTGAAGAGAATAATTGATATTCTGCAAACTTTTGATTGATATTGATATTTTGTTTAAAATAAGCATAAAATACTGTAGTAGTTCTTTTTGGTTCAATTTACAACAGTAGACAGTGTGCTGCTTTTTGTCAGATAAAAAAAAAAAAAGTCTAGGAGGCAGACGCTGATATCATGGTGCCTGATTTTATCATATGTTCACTCAGAAAAACAAGCAAATACCCCAAGCTTTTGTTTTACTTGCTAAAACACGGCATGCAGTTTGTTTCCAACAGTAGGTGCAAGAGAATATACAAGACACTATCATACATGCATTTGCTGCTGCCTTACTCTATTTACCTCTAAATCAAAACACTGAGTTCAAGATAGACTCTGAAAGTAGGAGTGATGCCATACAGTCAGAGTTAATCACTCAAGGAACCAACATTTAAAACAGCCTTAGTCGTGGGCCAAACAGAATTAATATTTATTGAACAGTCTAGTGCTGACAATGCTTTAACCAGAAGTGTTGAATTTGATTAGAATGCAACATTTTCCTAAAAAAAAATTTCCTTATTGAACATGACATTTATAAAAAATATAAACACATCACATTAGTTGTGTTTGGGACAAACACTCAAACTAGGCTTAAAACTCTCTAAGTGGTTATGGAATATTGTTACAAATGCAAAGGGACAGCAGTTCACCCCTATCCTTGTCCAGTCATTATGTTCTGATTAGAGAATTAGAGAATTACAATTTACTCCCAACACATATGAATGGGATTTACATTTAACCCATCTAGTAAAGACTAGAGTAGACTCTTTATTATAGACTTTATTTAATTTTTAGACTACCATAATCTAAGTAAAGCTCTGGTGAGAGTTAAATATGCACTGATAAAATGTACAGTTTTAATCTTAAAGTACACAAACAACTAAATCAGATGTTGAATGAATGTACTAATGATATGCACATTTAATTTGAGATCATTTGCTTGTGTCGGAGTTGAGCACAAACAGTGAAGTGTTAGTAACAATAATGTCCAAAGGCATGGGTGGGGACATCCATGTCCACGTGAAGACTGATGGGTCGGCACTCACCACTATCTGTTACAAATAGAGAGTTTATCTCCCACACAGTGTCTGCTGGTGTCAGCTGACAGACAGCAATAGATAAAAATGCAACATTTACTTCTGGTCGCATTTAGTACAAATTCATGAGTACACAAAAATGCATGGTCACCAAACCTTACATTCCCCAAAGGGAATGTAAGGTTTGAGGGATAAATAAAGTTCTATCCAATCTAATAAAATTACACTTGTAGCACCTATAAAGCAGCTCTTATAAATGCACATTGAGTCTCTGAGAAGAGCACATTTATTACTACGAAACATTCACAGTATGTAACAAAACATTTCTGAAATGTTGTAGTTTTCTGAAATGTAGTTCTTGTTACTATTTTAGTTTTGGAGGAAAGAGCAGCTCAGCCCTTTTTTACACCACACCAAAGAGCCTTAGGTCAAACATCGCAGCTGTGTGCCTGACACATGTCACAAAGACTCCATTGTCCACTGGTGGTGTTGGTTTTACGCTTGTTGACACTCAAGTTGCTCAATCACACCAGGCATTCCTCCACAAGGCACCAACCTGTCCTGGCAGAACCGAAGTAGATAACTGTGCGTTCTCACAGTGATAAGTTTTGACTTTCCAAACACTGCTGTTATGACTGGCTCCTCCTGTTTGTGCAGTATGTGTGTGCCGTGTGTGAGGTAAAGCCCACCAGTACTTCAATCCTTAGTAACACTAAAATGACAATATAGCATACATACTAAAAACACAAAGTAGTTAGGGCTAACATTAGAAATATTATAATATACACCATTTATTCAAGTGTAAACATATATTTGCTTTGGTGATTTTTGAAGATACACTCACAAATGAACTCTAAAAGCCAAAAGGTATTTAATTTCATAAAGCAATTGTTTAAAAAAACAATGTAATTCAAGTTATACTGTTTCTAGTACTGGGGCCAAAGGAATTACTGTGTAAACCAAGTTTGTTAACTAATTTGTATAGCCCTTACGCACAAAACACACAATTTGGATTGTACACAAATTAGGAATGTATATATAGTCAATGTTGCATTAAAATCATAATAACAGGACAGAAAAGTAGAGTTTACTGTTTGGAGGATTTTGTTTTCTTCACTTGCAAAAATTAAAACAAGAAGGAATCACTAATCCAATTACAATAGTCAAGATAATAATAATAATAATAATAATAATACATTTTATTTCATAGGCGCCTTTCAGTCACCCAAGGACACCTTACAGTGAATACAAAGATAACAACACAGTATTTAAAAACAATAATAAGAATAAAAAGATAAGATTGTAACTATTTGCGTTCATAAAGGTCATAATGAGGTCATTCGCTAGTGTTGGAACAGATTGTGATTTATTAAGCGGTTTGTAAAATTAATTCAACAGCTTGCCCTTATACATTTTAACACATTTTCTATTATTAGATTATACTTTTACAGTGAATAATACAGTAATTGTGTCTGTCTGTCTACGGTGCAGTATCATCTGGTTCTCAGCTTCAGGGCTTTTACTACCTTAAATGAACTTTCCATTTCCAATTATAACAAGGCCACACTGTCTAATGGTGAATTGTATCTGGCTCTTTTTAAAGTGATGCCATGAAGGTATGCAGCAAGAGCGGGGAAAAGTCTAGCTTCATCGTACAGTACGTTTCTTCCCTGAAGAGATGACACTTAGCTCAAGCTCTCAGTCAGTCACAGAGTTTAGGAGTTTGTTATATAATTTGATGGATGATATAAAATTTAAAATTTACAGTGAAGGAGTAGGAGAGCTGGTCTCATCGTTAGTACAAATTCCTCAGAATCTGAGTAGGTTGCTGTTGTAGCAATGCTGTTGGACAGCACCTTCTACGGCTTTACGGTGTTATACGTTGACTAAGCACTGAGGGGAAAAATACAGACGGCGAGCAGAGCTGTGACTGCACGAGAGGGACACGAAAGAAGGAGAGGGAGCAGCAGCAGACAGTCATTTATTTAATGTCCAGTTTGTCCTGGCAAGTGTCGTATGTTTGCACTGTTTGAAGTTAAGGCCGTGCACCCCAGCATTCATTGTGCCGCTGCACCAAAAGCAGAGACGCAGAATTTACAGTGCCCAGCTTCGCCTCACTTCACCAGTTCATTCATATATCATCAAGCAGGCCTTACATTACACTGATACAGTCCAGGTTCAATGGGTTTCCTGCAGTTTTTTTCCAAGTTTGTTTTGGCTTCGAAACAAATCATAATATACTGCTAAACATATACAGACAGTAGATTGAGGTTGATTTTGTGAAATGAAAAAAGAAGATTGATTCTGTTTAATGGTGTTCAGGTATGATTTATTATGCCTCCTGTGTCAGTAGCAGTCCACTCGTCTACATGCTGATAAGTCCCTGGACAAGACAGTTTGAAGATGAGGGTGTTCTGTTATTAAATATTGATACAAGTCACATTACCTTGCTCAAGCATATGGATTAATGTAAAATGTATTGTCCTTGGTCAAAAGAAGAGCACCACCTTCTGGACTTGCGTGTGCTTTGCTATCTAAATTGACACAGCTCTAGTGTGCCGAGCCAGCTTTAACCTTCTTATGACTTGATGTTTTCACAGTGACACACTGTCTGGTTTTCTGATGCTCAACATGTTTAGACTGTAGAACATGTGCTCAACATCGTTTGCCAGGCTTATTTAGCAGATCACCTTTCTCCCTATGAAGAGAATCATTTAAATACAAGAGTAAAATATTATATTTATAATATTATATTGCTAAACTGTCCCACCTCCGTGTGCTCCATACACTCTCTTTCCCAAAAAATCCCACTACCAATTTGTACTTTCCTGGTTTCTTGCAAATGCCAATGGTGTTTGGAATGTTGACATAAATAACCATGATTTTTATGTTTATTCCATTATCCAGCAGCCCTGTATATGAGGCTATTTTATATTAATTTATACCTTCTACTGTTAATATTTCCCATCCATATCCTTAGCAACTCCTGTGAGTAGCAGTGATCCTCTATTATTTTTTGTCACAGAAAGATGAGAACGTTTTGTTTATTCGTCTGTTTATTTATTGTGGGGAAATGGAAAAAAGGGCTAAAGGCCAAGTTCACAAACAGTCCTGGGAAAGAAATGAAACAAGGCAAGTGGCCAGATTTTTTTTTCCTTCAGCTTGGCGAGGAAACCAAATAGACGTAGACGGTGCTTACTCTGTTTATTTTGTTTATTCAAGAAGAATAGCACACACTTGGACTGATTCCTGCAATTTTATTTTTTACCATCACCATGTCCATTTAATGTCTCTGTAGTTTCTTATATTTTCTTCTTCCTCTGCTCTTCTCCAGCTCTTCTTTTAAAGCACATTACCTACAATTTCATAATTATTATATGAAATAAAATGATTTCAACTGTTGACAAGTGAGCCAAATTTACAATTTATTTAGAAGCAGAATGTTTTCACAAAGTGGGTCACAGGACATATATCTCTAGAAAAACACATTTCTGTATTTATTGTTAATGTTGCAATATTTATCATCACAGTGGACTAATAATGATTCGGTGCTAGGTAAAACCCATTTCCAACCATTCATCCTTATGTTCAGTCTAACTTTTACCTGAGCTTCATTCAATATTTTCACGTGTTTTTAATCTTCAATAGAACTATGTTGAAATCTAATTAACAGTGACAAAAATCGACCTAAAGTGAAAACAGGGACAAGTACAAGCAAACACACACCCACGAGTTGCAGTAAATGTACCAATGACCCCCATCACAGTTTCCCAGCTGCCTTTATTACTGATAATAGACCTAGATAAGGTCCTGACCAAACATGACTGTGCATGTAACGAGCCTCTGCTCTCACTCGGCCCAATCCCTCATTACTGCTCTGCCGTAGGACATGTAGTGCTTGTCTGGTAATTGGAAGGTTCCTGGTTTAGTCCAAGGCTTCTTCAGAGTAAGATGAGCAATAATTGTCTTTTTGTATTTGCTTGTGTGTGTAGATTTGCATATGCATTTAAATGTGCATAGTCATTCACAAGGCTGCTTTTACGCGATTAAATTTTCATAGATTTGTAAGAATTCAGATCTATCTCATTTTAAGTTAATATTAACACCTGTGTCTCTCAATTTATATTGAAAAAAAATCATATCATTTGGTCACGTTTTTACACTACGAGACATGTACACGAAAAATGTACATAAAACTGTAGAGTTCATGGGATGGCAAGGCGATCACCTGTGTGTGTGTGTGTGTGTGTGTGTGGTTGTCTCCAAGGACCCAGGCTTTATTTCCACAATTAAAACCACAGCAGGGTTTCTGTCTCTACATGAGATAAGTTAAGATGGTGGACATATTGACAGGGGATTATATTGGCGATGGAACTGTCATGCCGGAGGAATAAGGAAGTACCTCATGTTTGACCTAATGTTTATGGAAAAGGTGAAAGGAGGATATGAAGATTGTTGCTGTAAAAATGGATGAGGAAAGGGATAGTGTTAGATGGAGACATATGATCCACTGATATTATATACTGCCTCATGTTTTTGGAAACCTGTCACATTAGCTTTTTTATTTTGGGAATGACAAGTGTACTTTGCAGCTATAAAAGTAGCAGCCTGATATGGGAGTCGTATATGGAAACAAAGTGTCTTTTGTGTCTTGAATATCTGTCTTTTTGCTAAGCTCTGCAGTACAGTATCAGTGCCTAAAAAACACCACCAATAATTCCTAAGCTCTGGTTAAGGTACCTTAAATTAAAAATGAAACTTTAGGTTACATCACAGTGGTGAGACCTGTTTGCTCAGTGCCAACAGAGGAGATGTCAGCTTTGATTTCACACATCATAAAGCAAACTCAGCTACAGAGCAGAGGGCAGTTCAACATTGAAGCCCAGCCTCACTCTGCAGCAATACTTTCCTGTATGTGTCCTTGTGATGCACTTCAGCCGACCTGATTCTTTTTTGTTAAATGTTGGATTAATCAAGCTGAAGATAATTACTGAAATTTTCCAACCTTGACAGACCAGAAAATAAAAATTGCAGTTTGGATGATGTGCTTTTTGTTAACTACGCTGTACTGATTTATTTATTTAAGTAGAGGAAAACAGTGGTGTTCGTTAGGGTGGTCAGATGTGGATCAGGAGGTCGGCTGCAGAAATGGCTGCCTGTTTTGAATCAGTGTCTTGTTAGAGCAGCTTGTTAACAGCTGTATAACAGCTGCTTCTCTGTCCAAGCTCATGTCAACCCCATTGTGACAGAGTGAGCTTCAAAGACCCCTAGAGGTTGTTATTTGGTCCCTGTAAATGCTCTGTTTTTCAGTTCCTAAATAGTATTACGGCTTTTATTTTCATTCCCAGAATAATGTTTTTATACCTATGGGAACTTTAAGAAGCCTGGGCTGATTAAAGCAGAATGTGGCTATTTGCTTTTCTTAAGTTAATAGTTCATACGGACAGGTTTACGCACACTGTCAAATTGATTGTTGTTGTGTTTGTCCCTGTGTCAGGGCTACAGAGAAGATTCTGGCCCGAGCTCGACAGCTGGTTGACGTCAAAAAAGATGATGGCTTCTCAGCTTTGCATCTGGCTGCACTGAACAACCACAGAGATGTTGCTGAGATACTCATCAAAGAGGTATTCCAAAGAAAATAGCATCAAAATAGTTTTTTTAATATTGTTTCATATATTGTAATCACCACAGCCTGCCAAGATTAAAAAAAAATATAAAATAGCACATTTAAAAACATTTAACTTTTTAATGCAGCAACTGCTTTTACATGATTTTTTAAATTTGGAATTCATTTCTTTTTAAGGGTCGATGTGACATCAACATCCGCAACAACAGAAACCAGACGCCACTGCAGCTGGCTGTGACGCAGGGCCACACCGAGCTGGTGCAGCTCCTGGTGGCTGAGGGTGCGGATGTCAACATGGAGGACGAGGACGGGGACACAGCCATGCACGTGGCCCTGCTTCGTCCACAACTGGCCAACGTGATGCTTAGCCCCCCAGTAGGAACCAGCAGCACTGAGGAGAGCAGCGAGGGCTGCTCCTCTACATCACTCTACAGCAGGGTGAGAAAAAGAAAACTGAGGACACACAACGTGTCGACAACCTGTTGTTAGTGACATTTCACAGTTTTTCTAAAGGGGTTCTCTCCACCACAGCTCTCTAACAACATCATGGAACACTCTGAAGAGCAAACACAGATTTAGAGTATATCAAGTAATCAAATAAGACAGAGGAAGAAAAGTAAACAAATTGATTGAGGCACCAAGTGTGAGTGTGTTTGATGGTGGATCCAGGATAAACAAACCAGCTGAGGAGTACTTAATATAATGAAGGGTAAGAGGATGGTGACGGAGTGGGTCAGGTGGTAAGAGGGTTATCTGTAGTTTAATGTGTAAACAGTGCATGAGACAGGGGTTAACTGAGGAGAAGGTGATCAAAGAAGAGAGGTCCTTTAAGGTCATGCTCTAGTTTGAAGTCTTAACACTTTAAACTGGGACAGTAAGCCTCTGATGATGCTGTGACTAAACTAATGCCATACTTTGATTGATTCACTATTAATATTAAACCTTAAAGTTACTAAAATTAGCTTACAGTAATGTTAATGTTTTTGGGGGGTGTATGACTCAAAATTGACTGTCTAAATTAATGCTTTAGGATATTGGCTTCTGAATCCTTTGTAGTGAATTAACTAAAGTAGATTGAAAACCTGAACTTCTTTTTTGTTTTAGACCAAAAACACAAAAGAGAACTAAGTGAAAGGCATAGGTATTTGATAACCTTTGAAGATGTTTTCTAACTATTGCAATCCATGGTCAACTGATCTGCATTAATAAAGCCATATTGATTAGTTCTGCTGTGAATTACCACCAGAGGGTTTGTTCATAATATATTAGAATTGTTGTAACCACCTGGAGATGGAGATCAGCATTTTAATAAACGCATCTTCCCCAGGCCCTTAAAAGCCATTAACTTGTAATTACACCTTCAGTATTCCCTTAATCAAAGATGCAGACTCTTTGCTGAGTGCAGCAACACCCACCCACACACACACACACACACACACACACACCATTGCTGTCAGTAAATGTTACTGCACTTGTTCTGATCTGATCACATGCAAAAAGTGCTAAGTATTAGTCTCCCTGACACATCCTATATGTCCTCAGATTTAATCACATTTGGAGGTGGTTTGAAGAGACGTGGTCACAGTCCTCAGTTTGTTCTCAGATAGCATGGTTTCCTCGCCTTCTTAGATGATGACCTTCTAGTTTTTCCAATAGGATGTATCTCTTACAGATACATTTTCATGATATGCTCAACTTAATCAACTTTTCACTGCCATTGTTCTCTGCAGCTGAGTGCTTCAGGTCTTCTGGGAAACACAGAGCTAAGTGTTGGGGCAGCCATCGCCTGTTTCCTAGCACAAGAAGGCGCTGACATTAACTACGCCAACCACAAGGGCAAAAGTCCGCTGGACCTGGTGTCAGACAGCACAATGCTGCAGCTCATTAAGAGCTTCTCCGAGAAGCACAGGTGAGTTGTCTGCAAAGATGTTGGTAAATTTACATACTGTATCATTTTGTCTTGTAGAGTAGTTACAAATGAATTGTTTGTGTGGAAAAGATGCTACATTTGCACAGTTTTAAGGCTGAGCATTGTTTGGTAGGTTGCAGCGTCTGCAGGCCATCACATGTGGACAGGGTCTAAGCAGTGCTAGCATGCGGAGGGTCCACACTACACCCAACACTATGACCAACCTGGTTCTTCCCACACCGCCAGGGCCCAGTGAATGCCTCATCTGCTCTGAGCTGGCTCTGCTGGTTCTCTTCTGTCCCTGCCAGCACAGTGTTGCTTGTGAAGGTGCCTTGAGACTAGATAACAGATAACTAGAAAACATTCTAGAGCAAAGAGGATTATTGACATTAATATTAACTCAGTAATTTAGCTGTGATTAATGATGTCAAAGAAGCCTTAATAATTCATGCTCTCTCCTTGTGTCAACAGAATGTGCTCATCGAATGAAAAAATGCATCAAATGTCAAGTCACAATCACAAAAAAAATCAGACAAGGTAAAACTGAAACACAATTTAAACTTTGAACATGATTGTTTTGTTCACACAAGTTTGAAACTTTGATGTTGATTTACATTTTTAAGTATTCACTAAATTGGCTGAGTTTTGACTTCATTGTACAATATGGCCTTCCATAGCATACGGAGCGTATTTTTAACTGATCTTGATCTTGACCTGAATTCAAAATAAAGAATACTGGGGACCTTGGTCCTTGTTATATTTAAGCCCCTGAAATCTTGATGTGAAGGTCTTTTTAATTTACCTGTAAAATCTATAATTAAAGTAGAAAATACCAAGTCTGGCTTCTGTAACTCATAAAACTGATATTCACTCTGTAATAAAACATGTGATTTTTTTTTTTACGTTTGACATTTTAAATGTTGAGTTAAAGAGCATTTTGTACATATTTTTTTCTTTTTTTCTGTAAATATTTTAACATATTAATACCCTCCTCTTCATCAGATCAAACAGAAGTGGATTGCAGTCCTGGTAACGAGAACTCGGAGCAACACAACCTGCTGGAGCAGCTGCAGTCTCGCTACCGGCAGATGGAGGAGAGAATCACCTGCCCCATCTGCATCGACAACCACATCAAACTGGTTTTCCAGTGTGGGCACGCGTCCTGCATCGACTGCAGCGCAGCTCTCAAAACCTGCCCCATCTGCCGGCAGCCCATCCGTGAGCGCATACAACTGTTTGTCTGAGCGTCACTGTCCTCAGTAGGACGTCTGAGGGGAGAGCGTTTGGAGTAAGGGGGGGTGGATGTCGCTTTAGCAGACGTCGTACCAGCCTGTCGCTCTCTCCTGCTCATCACCGCCAAACACAATCAAATACTCTGTCGCTTTTATTATAACAAGCTTTGTTACACAGTCCTCTCTTTGTTACATTTTGATCCGTTCTCTCCTGAAGAAGCGTGAACAGAAAGGTGTCAACCACGTTAACTGTGGTTCAGCTCCATAATGAGCAAACGAAATAGTGAGTTTTGATTACACTGGATGGGGCAATAAAGATGGGGCGAATAAAAAAAAAAAAAAGATCTCCTGCATCTTCTCCAACCTCCATAATTTGTCTAATCTTTGCTGCTTTAAATGGATGTCTGTTACCCATCATCCTCTCTGGCCCTTTGGCCTCCTCTGTTTACAAGGCTTCACAGAATCAGTTCTGATGTTCTGGAGTTTCGCGCCCTTGGCCTGTCCTGTGAATTTAGTTTTCTCTCATTTGTATCAATCTCTTTAATAATCAGTGTTAGTCTCTGCAGAGAGAGTTGGTATAATTTAATACTCTCTCCATAGTCCCCAGACACTCGCCTGTATGCAAGGGGAAATACAAACTATATATGCATGAGTATATGCATATTTGTAAAGCTGAAAATGACTGTGTCGTCATGGGTGATTTGTCGTTGTTGTTGTTTTACTTCTTTATGGTTACATTTGTGGTTTTTAATGTACCGATCAAAGACGATTTTTTTTATTTATGTGTGAACGATGGTATTACTTAATAATGTCCTTTCCTCCGTTAGCGTTTGCTTGGCAAATGTGTTCCTGTTTCTACTGAACTTCACCCCAAGCCTATGTCCTTTACTCAGGGTATCAAACTATTGAAAGCACTTGTGATATCCATAAAATGTTTAAAAAGCCCCCCCCCCACACACACACACACACACACACACACACCAACCATTACAGATTAAAAAGTGAATCATTAAACACAAACAAGAATCATCGACACTTTTCCAAATGTTATATTGAAAAACACAGTGTTTCCATATATGTATATATATATATATATATATATGTGTGTGTGTATATATATGTGTGTGTATATATATATATATGTGTGTGTGTATATATATATATATATATATATATATATATATGATAAAACTTTGTGTGTGGACTGTGTTTGTTTGACCAGTAAGGGCTGTCACTTTTAATTTGAGTTTTCTTCATTTAGGTATGCTCTTGGTCGCACGGCAAAAGACAAGCTCTCTGGCCAACAATGCCTCTGCGCCTGCAGGAGAATTGTTTTCCTTCTTCAACTAAAATGTCTTGCAGTGGCCAAGCAAATTAAACGATCCCTCTGGCAGCCAGATACAACACATGGCTCCATCTTAAAGCTCTTTTAAACATGACTTTTAATGCTTTTTAGGGCTTTGTAAATTTGGATTTTCTGAAAAGTGGCAGCCTTACCATAACCTACCAAGGGATAGGTATGCACAGAGGTCCCAATCAGTACCACATTTATACAAAAACTCAAGTTTTGTTATTTATCATTCAACATAATGTTAAATACTGAGTCAGAAGGACAAAACAAATCAATAATCAATGTGTTACATCTGTACTTAAATCATTTTCCCTTTCTTCATCAGAATCTATTCAAAAAGTCTTGGATTGTACATCATTTTCATCTTTTCTAACAACTTGGTGTGTTTTCTTGAAGGGCTTCTGCATATGTGAAAAAAATTGTATCTACTTATAATCTTAATTTAATTTTTATTTACTACACAAAACTACCACAGACAGGAGTGATTTGTTTTCGGTCTTTAATAAATCCCGAATTCTGGGAGAGCCAATGTTATTAATGTACATTTGAATGTCCGGGTTGAAAAATGTATCCTGTCTCACTCTGCCTTTTTATGTGTACAGAAAAATGATGTAAGAGAAAGAACTGGAGAGACAGAGATGCATTTCCCACATGGTTTTATTCTGAAGAAAGAAAGCTTTTACATCAGTGCCAAAATCGCATGAGGACATGCATGGGCATGGGCGCCCGAAATTATCTAAATACCCCACTAGGCTCAAGTGGGGGTTTCGTTATTGAAGCAGTGTTAAGTTCAACTTAAAGAAAAACTGCTGGCATTGTTTTGTGTCTAGTTCAGAAGCAGATAAGCAGTCAGTTACAGTTCTGACATTAGCTTTGGGCTAAAGGTGTTAGCATTCTAATGTTAGCTGTAGACCTCTGAACTCTCACATGTTCTGAGTGACAGATGACACTATTCTCACTTTAACATTAGTGACCCATATTGTTTGGAGCTTTTACAGTACATATAATTATTTTGTGTGAGACAGTAATTGTCGAGCATCAGATTTTTACGTTGATGGAATCACAGGTAAAGGCAATAACGTTTCAGAAACATGGGGAAGATGTGAATTTTTTTTCTCCCTCTTACGGAGGTTGCTGCAAAAGTGAGAAAAAACGATTTTTGTATAAATCGCAGTCAAAGCAGCAAATGTTACTATTGGTGTTTGTACAGTTCAGCGCTCAAAGTTCTGGTGTTGGCCTTACTGTCCATTCCTCCTCTGTTGATATTCTTTTCAGTTGTATTCTGTACAAAAATATTTTGCAATAAATATGGAACCAATTTTCTAAGGACTTCTTGGTGTTGATGTTTATTTAATTCATGAATTTTTTTTCTCATCTAATGTTCTCAGGTAGATAAATGTTATTGTATATTTTCTTCATTTGTAAGTTATCTGATTGACTTATAAGTGAATTTAACTCAACATAAAATAGCTTAAAGTTAACCGAGTATTAAGCAAAATTGTCTAACTGAATGCATCTAAATAATCAGGTAAATTAATTATAATAATTAAGCAAATGGAGCTAAAATTATTATTAGTAAAAAATAACCAAACAATAGCTACATACCTATGATAGGACATTCTGGAAAAAAATGACTGATTTAGTTTATTTTTCACACCACTATATCATCAGGTCTCTAAGAGAAAAATATTATAATTGGTGAATAATCAGATCTGATTTAACATCATCACAGTAAAAATTCAAAGATCATCTGTGTAATTTTTTATTTAACCTGTGCCACTTCTTACACATCCCTTGCATGTGGTGTGTTCCCTCAGTGCGACTTATCTGGAGGGTTGACAGTTTTACTCATTTAAAATGACTAGTGTTGGTGCAGCTTTTCTGCTGTGAGCCATGTCTCAGTCTTGATTGTTTTACAGCTCAGAAGCCTTTGGCCTATGACTCAGTGCAGTGGCGTTCTCCCTGAGGACATGATGACAGTTCTCAGCAGAGGGACAACCACAAAAACAGCTCTTTGACACAATCGCCTGGTTCTATTTGAATGGTTGACTGAAAGAAAACATAAAGGACATACTTAAAATATATACAGTTTCTATTGGGAGAATAGTATCTCGATTTTTATTTTGTTATTCATTTTATATCCATCCATCCATTTTCATCCGCTTATCTGTTACCGGGTCGCGGGGGCAGCAGTCGACACCCAAATGACATCGCACCGTACCAACCCCCCTAAACCTTCCTGCAGGTGGTGAGTCCACTGGAGTCAAACACACACTTTGATATTAATTCTTAAATCTCACTTTTCAAGAGTCTCATTAAATATATTAATGAGGGGGCGTAAAGGAAAGTGAACTACTTGTGAGACAGCACACCACTGAACACAACAAAAAGTGACCTCTGTTTTTAACCCATCACCAATGTGAACAGTGGGCAGCTTTAAACGCCCAGGGAGCGTGTGTGGCGACTGTGCCATGTTCAGAGCACCTCAGTGGTAACTTGGCAGCTTGTGGACTCGAACCTGAAGCACTTCCGGACCCAAGTCCACTTCCTTAACCAATAAGACACCACTGCCCCAAAATAATCGAGCTAGCCAGGAGTCGAACCTAGAATCTTCTGATCCGTAGTCAGACGCGTTATCCATTGCGCCACTAGCCCTATGAAATACAGAAGGTAAAATTCATAAAATATATTTTTCCTGTTGGTAATGTTACGTTACCACAATTTGTATTAGATAGTATGTTGTCCCTGCACTGATTGTTAATCAGTGTCTTGTGCAAACAAACTTACACGCAAGCAATGTCTTAAGAGTTACACCGTTTAGCATCGCCTCCTGGTTAAGTTACATGATATGGCATAATATCTCTCACCTCACCACTCCTGTTTAATCATGTAAGAAAACATAGTGGCACTTCAATATTACCTAAGGACGAAAGTATTTAGTTTGTCCACTTTGGGTTCATGTCGTTGCGTTGTGATCTAACATGGCCGCCTCCGTGGGCAAGACCAGCTAGCAATAAAACGGCAACTGTTCGGGCATTAACAGTTCATACACTTGGGTAAGTGTATTTCCGTGGGGCTTGAAATAATTCCACTTGTGAACGTTTACATTTCCAATGTTTGCTAGTCACTTTAATCCTGTCCAGCCTCTCGTGTTACGCTGTTGGAAATTTGTGTGGAACAACACCACCATCAAGTGGCATATTGAACAAGAGCAAGACATGGATGGTATTCAATGTTTTCAGATTTCGCGTCAGATTTAGGCCACACACACACACAAAAGTCCAATTGAATGACACATTGCCATACAGTTATTTTCCATTTACCACAAAAAACAAACAAACAAACAAAAAAAAAACAAACAAAAAACATTAGATTGGACCGGAAGTGTGAATATTTTCAAGCAGATTTCCAGGAAAAACAAATCCAAAGTTTGTTATAATATTTATTTATATAACATTTTACAGCCGCGATGGTGCTTCTAGTGTCATTTCAGACACATTGTGGTGATGTGTGCCATGGTTAATGTTTCACTAACACAGTGGTCTGTTTCTACGGAGGTCGTTATTAGAAACTCTCATGTAAAGGGGAAGCCCTCTGCCGACTAAGGAACGTGCAATTGTTCTGCTCTTTTGGGACATTACGGCCACTGTAGTTCCTCCAGCGCACGTAAGGAGAAGTGGGAGAACGGGATATAGTTGGTTGCAATGCGAAAGGTAACCACTGAGTGTCAGTAACTGCCACAAATTGGTAAAACCGACGGTTACCGACTCTGATCACACCTCAATCATTTTTGCGTGCTTAAAACCGGTTACGTTCATCTCCTTATTAAACCTTAACATCAATTTTAACGACAGCAACACATATTTAACTTGATTACGGGTAAGGTCATACTAAAGTTTTAATTACTTAATTATTAGTCTGTTTACTTACACAAAGAAGAATTTTGTTTTAGATTTACTTAGTCTTTTCGAAAGAAAAATAAAAATGTCCACGTTAAAATACAAATTTAAAAATAATTTGAATAATTATAATAATAATCCCCTAACACATAGAATTGCTGTTTTTATTAATTTAAGATAAATGAAACTACATACTAACTATATGATTAGCTCTTTAAGAATTTGCATTAAAGAAAAAAAAAAAAATAATATAATATATAATATGGCATTTAGGAAAATAGTTGAGGGATGTAATGTATAAATACAGATGATTTATTATTTATTGTGTTATTGTAATTTATTAACTCTCATATAAATAATACCAAGGCTCCAGTTATAATTTTTTTATTGCGTATTATGTAAATTATTAATACCAAACTGCCACTAAACCTCATTGACCCTGTGATGTTCTGCTGTTTATTGCTACTTTCATAATGTTGGGTATTTATCCCATTGACATAGTCATATCCCAGCATCCTCTGCCTCACTTTGTCATCTTTGTGCAGTGATCAGGTGTTCTAGTTTGACATGAAGAAATTAGCCTTCAGGATGAAGTAGCTTTGTTTACACTACACACCTGTGTTGCATCAACAAGTTTGTCCACATCAGTGTTTTTTCTTTTTTTTTTTTTTGTTTAATTCCTAATCTGGAAAAACGTGGGTGCAGTTCGGGTGCAGAGGATTTGCTGATCTTTGTGTGTGAGGAAGCTGCAGTTTAGCTGCAGGGAGATGCTGTTGTCTCTTCTTTGTTTGGCGTGAATGCAGCGACTGCTTGTACCCCACGGATCATCTTACTTCTCTGAAATGTCTGAGAGCAGATGGTTTGAAAGAGACAGAAAGTCTTTCTTTCCTGAGCATCATTTAATGAAAAAAGAGTCAGAGCTGCCAGATCAGATAATTTCAGTCACAAAAAGAGGAGTGGATGAACAGAGGTGTGACTCAATCCCCACCCGACTCCACGTAGTTGTTGTTTTTTTTTACACCATTTGTATATGTTGCTAAATATAAGGTTAAGGTTATTTTGCTGTCTGCTACCTTACTGCATCTTATTATTAAAACATACTTGACGACAGATGTACGTTGAATTCAAACGGACAAATCTATTCACATTCACAGGTGATGTAGAGTCAAGGCACCTTGTTTTTCCTCTTCTGCCTCCTTGGCTGACAACAGACTCCCTGTTGCTACAATGGGATTCCCAATGATGCAATATCAGCCCTGCCCTGCTGTGCTCTGCTCTGCTCTCACACGTGAAGGAGGTAACTTTGGCCTCAAGGTGTTTTTTTTTTTTTTTTGCTGTACATGCTGCATTAGCTGTAGAGAACTGGATTCTTACTTGTTATTTCATTAGTTTTCTACAGTCAGTTTTCTAGTTTTCTAACTGCCCAAAGTAGCTCCATAAGAACAAGCTGCCAGTCTGAAAGTACGTCTCACTCTGTGAATAATGTGAGCAAACATTTACCTGGCCATAACTCATGACGATAGTTTGAAAAACTGCATCCTGTTTAGAAGAAGCCAGATGATAAGGCACAACATCAATGCTCTGTATGATCAATAATTGAACATTGTTGTTGTAGTAAGTGTGGATTTTCTACCGTCATAAGTCACCTGGACTTCCTGTTAAAGAGCAACAGCAGCTTGTTTGTCTCTGTATGTAACAGTAAAAACAGCAGCAGTATCAGTAGTAGTGGTACAAGTTGGTAGTGTTATAAAAATATATTATTATTCATCATCATCATTTTATTATTATTGTTATCCCTCTGTAAACTAGGGAACTGCCTGGAAAAAAAAGCCCCTTGTCTTAATGTATGGCTCCTTTGTTTCTTCACCTTTGTTTTCCTGCTTAACACATCAATGGCCCACCCTTACCCCAGCTTGCGGCCCCCACCCTCAGTGAAGCCCGTCTGCAGCTGCTCAGGCCCAGAGGCCCGTGTTTGTACAGATTTGTTACGAAGGTGGTCATTACATTTTCTATAAGAGAACACAGCCCATATGTAGAGAGACTCCCCTCGGCAGATGGGTCAAATTGATGGGAAACAGGTTAATTAACACCTGATGACACCGACATGACATGACTCACCTTCTCCTTTGGAGGTTACTCACCCAAAACTAAATAATACAGTGAAGGGGGTAAAGGTGCAATCTGTCCATTTTTACAGGGGTCCTCATTAGGATTTTGTCCTGTTTTTTTCCCCACTTTTTTGTCGACTACAATAATCCAGTTGATAGCTGTTTCTCTTCTCAGTCTTTTCTGTTGTAAGTTTTGCAGGCAAAAATGTTTCTTCATAGTTGTTTTTGCAACCGGAATATTTTTGCATTAGCGTGACAAAAGACACAGGGAAAAGCACAGAGTCTGAGTGAGACAGAGCAGCTTTGTCTCCTGTAGCTGTTT